TTTTTCAATTTTAATTCATTAGTTAAATTTAATCAGTGAATAAATAGTAACAAACAAAAATAATAGTCCACACCAAATATAAAAAGGAAAATCGCTTTTCGTGTCCCTATAGCGCAATGGAAGCGCGTTGGATTTCTAATCCAAAGGTCGTGGGTTCAAATTTTACCAGGGGTGGCCTAATTTCAAATAATGTGATTTATGAATGAATAAATAGTAACAAATAAAAATAATAGTCCAACACCATATATAGAAAGGAAAATCGCTTTCTATTTTGCCACTTAATATTGTGATTGTCATATGTACATACCTATTTATATTAATTGTAATAATTTAATATAACATGGTGTGGTAAAGATTCTCATTAAAATCAAAGATTCCCATTTAACCAATTTCAAAGATTCCCATTTAACCAATTTCAAAGATTCCCATTTAACCAATTTCAAAGATTCCAATTTAACCAATTTCAAAGACTCCCATTTAACTGATTCTAAAGATTCCCAATAAACAATTCCGAAGATTCCCATTTGGCCAATTCTGAAGATTCCCATTTTAACCAATTCTAAAGATTCTCATTTAACCAATTCCAAAGCTTCCCATTTTTGGAATTGGTTATCCCATCCCCCATCCCATTTTTCTCCATTTCCGAAGATTCACATTTAATCAATTCGGAAGATTCCCATTTAACTAACTTCAAAGATTCCCATTTAACCAATTCCAAAGATTCTTATTTAATCAATTCCAAAGATTCCCAATCAACCAATTCGAAAAATTCCCATTTAACAATGCCAAAGATTCCCATTTAATTTTGCAAAAAAATGACCGGTACTAATTGTTTAGTGTCAAGTGTAGCGATTAATAATTTTTAATTATTTAAATCTCCTAACATTTTAGTATTATACATTATTTAATTCTTTGTAAAGTTACTATTCCCCCAAACTTTTCTGAAACATACCCATGAGCTAACATCTAAAAATATAGCAAAATACATCAAGTGACACGATTTTTTTCCAAGCTATCCGAAACATCAGCACACTTAAAACAAAATTTTATACCTGCAACAAAATACACCCGCATTTCGAACTAAGACACTTTGTAAGAGAAAAGCACTCTGGAAAACTTTTTTTTACCCAACGATCCATTCTTTTATTTTTGTACGAATTTTTCTTCCTAAAGGAATGGCAACAACTCAGATCTTCGAACGACCATCTTATCCAAGATGGCCGGGAAAAAAAAAGAGCAAGTAGAAAAAAAAAGTAAAGATAGAGAGAGCTCCATTCCGGTTCATGTAAATTGGTTTCATCTTTCTTGGCGAGCAGTCCTTTTCTCTCCCTATTTTCCTGCTTTTCCGGAATTCGGTACCGGAATTGTAGGATCGTAACTATTTCCTGATAAATGACGTGATGTACCATTCCGTTTCAAAAAGTGCATAGTATGACTGGAGAGAGGTCCATTACTAGTTGCTCGCTGGAATAAAATGCATAAGATGCAAGTTTAATGTAAAAGAGAAGTGAGAAATCATTAATGTAGCAAGATTGTATATTTATGTTTCCATAGTAACTGTAAATTTTAGAAAATCTTTGACTCCGTGAAAGCTCAAATGTAATACATTTCTCTTCATCTTCCGCATTCAATATTTAATTTTTTACAGTCCTGTGTTGTTTAATTTAGGATTTTCTTTGTATCTGGCATTTGAATTTAACGTTTTTGATGAGAAATATTTCGTATGCATGGGACATAAAGATTTAGTACACTAAAAGTGTCTCGAGAAAATGTTGCAGCGAAAGTCTTTACAAATATCTTAAATTTATGATCACCAAGAAACAAGATTGATAAATTACTTTATATTAAAAATAATTAACAATTTTCTGCATATTGTAATACTTACATTAATAGAATTTTGAATACAAAGTTGAAAATGTTCTTCAACAAAGGTCAATTTCATGAACAAGCTTACAAATCAACAAATAAATCCCGATAAAATAAATATAAATAAAGCAAACACAAATGCAATAATAATAATATAAAAACAAACAGAAAGTAATAAAATATATCATTATTCTGCCAATTATTATTGAAAGAATACAATAATTAAAAATTATAATTTTTTATTTCATTATAACTAATATAACATTAGCATCTTTTTATTTCCAAATTATTATATTTGTGTATTAACATATCAAATAAACCAGCAGGTACCAAATTAGATACTTTTTTAAAAAAAATATCGATAAACTAAAAACAAGTACAGATGATGATTTCTCTATCAAATTGTTAATAAATAAAAAATAAATTCTCGTAAAACTTATTTTCGGAATTTGACTTAAAAGGAGAAATTCATTTAGGGCAACATGAGAACCGTTTGGAAAGTTAAACCTTACGTTAAAAGCCATGTGTCAAGATTATAATAAATAAACAAAAAAAAAATATAATGAAAGAATTTAATAAAATATAAAGTAATTTATTCTTTGGAAATTATTTTAGTTAATTTTTTATCTATTTTCTTTATGTTTACCATAATAAAGAATACAGTAGAAAAAATATTGTAAAATTCTCTAAAGCTTTCTAACATGTCGAGAAAAAGCACAAGAAGAAAATACGTAAATTATTTTGAAGATAATTAGATAGAAATATTTGATCATAATTGTCTTAAAATATATTACATTTTAATCTGTATTTTAATATTTATTGCATTCTTGTTCACTCACAATTTAAGACAACATATAAATGGGCTAAGTTCATGAAGGTCGCATGATAAATGTAGTCACATGTTTTTCCAATGAATTCAAAACTAAACTTGGACTTGTGTAGGGTTTCTTAAATTTGTAAAATCCAGAAACAATTTTAAATTTTATGATTGGGCAAACATATCTAAAAATTAAGACTATTCAAATTTTTTTTAAAACAATAAAAAAAACTCTTATGCTATACGGGGTTTTTAAAACAAGTACAACTTGCTTACTTATATGTACTTTATTATTTTAACTGTTATATATACTTAAAAAAAATTATGCAAAACTCAAACGATGACAATAGTGAGACAATAGAACTGATTCGCTGGAAATAAATTATTACATTTATCTTGTAATTATGATGTCATATGAATTTAGCTCATTCTGTAAGGACGTCTATGTGCTAATAGTTTTTAAAAGATTTTCAAAATATTAAAAAACAAATTCTCACATAATACGGGTATTTTTAACGAATGGTATTTTGCTTGCATATGTGCGTTATTACTGCTAACAAATTAATAATTTTTGAAAGAAAATTTTCATTAAAATACAAAATTGGCAACATTGAGGTTTGTGAACTGATTGACAGGAAACATGCAATTGCATCATTAGCAGACTATATAACGTCACATCAATTTAGTCCATTGATAGACTAAAAAATTCTTGATGCATGATTTGATTATTATATAAATCCATCAAAACAACACTTTTACTTAAAAAAAACCCCAAAATTTATTAATAGCAATAAACACACAATAATCACAAACCAAATAAAGGATTGTTTTAACTCTGTAAAAGAGCAAATTTACAAGTATCATTCGAGATGAAACTTAACACACACATCTCACTTTTTACCTTTTAAAAATCAGTTCCTATTCCTCGCATGACTGAAAAATGCCACGATAAAACACAAAATTTATCAAAAAATCGATATTTTTTTTTATAAAAGAAGCCCCATCCATGAAGACCTTTTCGACAGATATGAAGCCATTTTGTCCTGCCCCTTACAAAAGAACACCCCCGTACAAGATTTGCAGTCTGACCATCTCCTCCCATAATCCCCTTCCCTTCTTCCAGAAAGATATTGTCTGCTTTTAGACCGCAGTAACTTTCGCACTTAAGCCCTGGGGATTAAAGCCTATTGGGAAGAATTAGCGTTAATCTCGTAAGATTCTTTTAAATGGAACAGAAATGCCTTAGAATCTGGCGCTATTATTGTACAAGGATTTCATCAAGATTTATTATCTTTAAAGCGTGGGATATTTAGATTGTGCCACACGTACAGTTTGGTTTGTGCCATGAGTCTTTTGAGAGAATTAAAAAGTCAAAAATTTTCGATTAAGTTTAATAGTTGAGAGAAAAATTGGAAAATAGGACTTAAACTAGAAAAAAGGACCAATTTTATAAGTTATTGTGGTTATAAAAGGATTTATTAATAAATAGGAGCCATTAATATTGAGAAATTTTCAATTCACACTCAGTTTCTAAGGAGATAGGATGCTATATCCTTAAATTTCTTAAAAAGATGTTATACTCTAAACTTCTTAAAATGTTATATCCTTAACATTCTTTGGATTTAGAGATATGAAGGAGTTTAAATGTTTAATTATATTATTCAGAATACTTTTGAAAAATCTTCCTCAACTTTAGAATTACAAACGTTTTTCCGACGTCTTTTTAAATTATTACTGTTAGTTCACACTCTCCCTATATATATGTCATAATTCTATAATATTTCTGGAGATGGATAAAACTAATTGTAAGACGTGGCGAGTGGTTTATTTAAACAATGACGAACCAAAGGATAGGGCGTGGCCGGAGAGAGAGAGAGAGAGAGAGATTTCCAGAGACATCGGTTTTTATATCTGACGTTGAAAACCCCGTGACATTTTTGTAATAAGAGCCCTTATTGGTTTCAAGGGGCAGGAAAAGGATTTATGATGTAATATTATTATTAGTCGATTACGATTAAGAACAGGATGTTAGTTTCGAACCAAATAATTAAAAGATTATTTGAATATTATTAAAAGAGTTAATTAAAAGGATGCTAGGGGGAATTAGTACATATATATCTTGTTCAAAATTTCAATCGTAAATAAAATAATTTTTATCCATTCACTCAAGTTCAAGTACATTTTTTAAAACTTATAATGGATGACACTTGATGCAGTTTTTTCAAATGTTAATTCATTAGTTAAACTTAGTTAATGAATCAATAGTAACAAAAACAGTAGTCCAACAGTATATATAGAAAGGAAAATCATTCCTCGAGTCCCTGTAGCGCAATGGATTGCGCGTTGGACTTTAAATCCAAAAGTCGTGGATTATAAATTCCACCTGAGATGGCCTAATTTCTGAGAATGTGATTTCTCTTTTACTATACTATTTTTTTTAGAATAATTAAATTTAATTAATGAGTAAATAGTAACAAACAGAAATACTCCAACACCCTATATAGAACGGAAAATGGAAAATTACAAAAAAAAAAAAAATCCCTTTCTATTTTGGCACTTAATATTGTGATTCTGTCATATGTATATACGTATTTGTATTAATTTTAATTATTTAATTAAAAGGTTTTTTTTATTTCTATTGGCAGATTATGAACAGTTATTACAGAGTTCATTAATCTACCTAATACGTCACCGAAAGCTGGTATCTCTTTTTAGGGCGGCGCCATACTGGCGAATACCAATCGCCGCAGATAATTCTGACGCCGAGTTTCCTCCCTAGAGGGAGGCACCTGAATTCTGACGATGCGAACCTGTGCTAGGATTTAATTTTGTCTAGAGTAACCCCTTAGGGATCTTTTACATGTTGTTTAATTATACGACATGGCCGCTGTTGATTTTCTGCATCGTGAAAATCCATCGACTTGGCCGGTGCTTAATCCGCAACCTTGGGTACGGAAGATCAGCGACACACCAACCATGCCACCCAACCGATAATTAAATAAAAAAATAATAATAAATAAATAAATAAATAATTTATATATGTAATAAAAATTTAATAAAAAGTAACAAAAATAAAATGGTTTTTTTTACCAAAGTATTAATTGACTTAATTTTTTAATATTACTTGTTACTCATATTTCAAGTAAGTCATGCAATAAGTTTTTATAAAATTATAATTCAATTCTCACATAAAATGAAAAAATACTTTTATTCGAGAGTTTTAAGGTCGCAGTAGCCTTGTGGTTATGGTCCCGAAGTTGGAGCCGGCGTGTCGCGTGTTCGAGTCCAGGTTCACTGAAGATCCTCCAAATAAAGGGGATGATGTGCATTAAATCTGTAGAAGCAAAAGTCCTCTCATTGGCATGGAGGGGTAGTTTGGAGAGGGGATACAAACTCAGGTACTATCCTGGTCACTTGACCAACTCTCAAAATTACTTGGCCCGTCGCATATAGCCCACTAAGGTTTGATTCTAAGCAATGGGCACGGAAACAAATTAAAGACATGGGATCTACAATTTAAATATTAAAGTTTATTTTAAAGAAAAAACATTTAAAGAAAAACACTTAATTTAACTAACCACACTCAGGATATACTTCTTTCCTTCGTACCCAGACATAGAATGAATTCCTTTTAAACCCCAAGGGATGAAGAGGATTCTCTGGCGTCTTTTGGCCACACCATAAAATACTTCGCATTCCACACCCCAAGTGGGGGAACTAACCATCCCCTGTAGCAGGTGGTTCACTTCGGACTTCTACAAACCCCGTTATGCTTTATAGGGGGCTAAGTTATTAAATTCTCACTCTCTCATCCAAGAATTTAAAAATCAAGCCGTTAATAAGGGGAAAAAATTGTTGTATAATAAATGGGCATGCGCATTATCACCTCCCCTTATATCCTGAATGTATCCATTGATTGCATTTTCATATCTGGAGATTGCGATAAAACAGTGTAATCACATAATAAAACAAATACGCTACAAAGATAATTATTAGACAGACACTACATTTACTTGTAATACAAAGGAAAAATTATTCGTAAAGTTTCTTGGTCATTCAAATTCAAAAAAAATTATTAAATTTATATTATATATATTTTTTTACAATCATTATACTATTCAAAACGTTTTTATTTTTAGTTAGAAAAACAACTAATTATATTCATTTAATAAATTAGTTAAAAAATATTTAATTGCCTCCATTGCATTTATGCTTACTTATTTACTATGAGATTTATATATTTTCTATACTTTCTATATAAATTTCATTTTCTATTCATGTTACCTAAATATATTATTCTTTTCTCTGAAGAAATCTTTTTCTTTTATTAATTTAATATTATATCAAATCGAGTAAATAAATTAAATTATCGAGTTAAAAGCGTATAAAAAGATTTATTTAAAATAGATTTTTTAAACAAATATAATTGAGATAAATGATAAATAAATAACAGGTGAGGAATAAAATATTTTATACTTACCATTACTACTTGTTTAAATTTTTGCATTAACATAAATGTCTCTTTATCGGAAATATTTTTAGTGCTCATACTCCCTGCACTCTAGTACTTTTAGTACTAGTATTTCTGCACTGTAGTACTTTTAGCATTATTCCTTCTGCACTCAAGTGTTTTTAATATTAGTACTCGTGCTCTCTAGTACTTTTAGTAGTAGTATTCCTGTACTATGAGACTTAGAGTACTAGTACTATTCTGGTACTTCTAGTACTAATAATTTTGTACTCCAGTACGTCTGGTACTAATACTAATGTGTTCTTCAATACTTTTTGTATTAATAATCTTGCCTCCTGTATTTCTTGTACTAATACTCTAGTTTTCAGTACTTTAAGTACTAATATTGTATTCTAATATTTATTTTACAGGTACACTGTCACGCATACGCTTCTAATACAAAGCAGTTGAAATAAATTTATCTTCCAACAATTCTCAATTTTTAATAATACGTTAGGTATATATAAATATATCTATATATAGAAAGGAGAAAAGCAACTCACTGACTGACTGACTGACTCACTGATTAATCACGATAACTCTGGAACTATTAAACTTACAGACTTGAAATTTGGTAGGTAGAATTCCCTTCATGGAGTAGACGTTAGCTAAGAACGGATTTTGCAAAGTTCGAACCCCAAGGGGCGTTACGGGGGTTTAAAGGGGCGTTATGGATAATTATTTCCATTACTAAACTATTAGATGTACAGTCGTGAAACTTGGTACACAGAGATATATTTCTTTCATAAAGTAGAGATTCCCTACATAATGATTTTTACAAAAATTGACCTCCAAGGGGCGTTATACATAATTATTTCCATTTTTAAACTATGAGACGTACAGTCTTGAAATTTGGTAAGCGGATTCCTTTAATAAAGTACAGATCCCCTATAGAATGGGTTTTGTGAAAATCGACTCCCAAGTGGCATTGTAGAGAATTAAGTGGCGTTATAGACAATTAACTCCTTTTTTAAATTATTAAACGTAAAATCTCGAAATTTAGTAAGCTGATTCCATTCATTAAGTAGAGATCCACTATAAGATGGGTTTTGGGAAAATCGTTTCCCAAGTGACGTTGCGGGGGCTTAAGGGGCGTTATACATAATTATTTCCATTTTTAAACTATTAGACGTACAGTCTTAAAATTTGGCAAGCGAATTCCTTTCATGGTGCAGAGATCCGCTACAAAATAGTTTTGGGGAAAATTGATCCCCAAGGGTCACTGAGGGGGATTAAAGTGCGTAATAGATAAATATTTCCGCTTTTCAACTAATAGAACCACCTGCTTGAAAATTAGAAGGTATGTTCCGTTCATGGAATAAAGTTCCTTTTACAAAGATTTTTGCGAAAATGGACCCCCAAAGGAGTGGGGTTGCGAGGGATTAAGGCGTGTTATAGAAAAATTCCTGTTTTTGAATTTAACTCATTTACTTGAAATTTGTTGAGCACTTTTCTTTAGTTGAATAGAGTTCCACTAAGAATGGATTTTACGGAAATCAACTCCAGGGGGAAGCGGGGAAAGTTATTGGGGCGTATTGATAGACAAAATTCCCGTTTTTGAACTGCTAAGACTATAATAATAAAATTTGGTTTGCATGCTTCTTTTTTGTTGAATTGGAATCCGGTAAGAATGCTCTCAACGAGGTATTGATGATAAAAATTCCGATTTTACTCTGTTAGATTTAGACGTGAAATATAGCATGCATGTTTATTTAGATAGAGGAGTAGATTAGGAGTAGAGATCCACTGAAAGTTGCTTTGGTGGAAATCCACTTGATTATTAGGTTAAGTGAGCGAAAAAAATCTTTCTACTTCTATTTTAGATATAAATGGAAATTATATATTATAATTTATGTTCTTTTTTATATCAAGGGGCGAGAGTGTAACAGCTATAAATATATTTTTCAATACAATCGAATTCTTAATGCTAGATATCAATAATTAATATATATGTAAACAGTATACATATATACAACGTGAAATACCCAGTGAAGCGGGTGGGTAACGGCTATATATATATATATATATATATATATATATATATATATAAATCTGCAATTTTGTATTGAACTGTACAGTAATTGAAATTATTTTTAACAAATATATATATATATTATATATATATATATATATATTATATATATATTTATATATATATATATTATATATATATTTATATATATATATATTATATATATATTTATATATATATATATATATTATATATATATATATATATTATATATATATATATATATATATATATATATATATATATATATATATATATATATATATATATATATATATATATATATATAAATCTGCAATTTTGTATTGAACTGTACAGTAATTGAAATTATTTTTAACAAAGTTTCAAATTAGGAAGTATAAGTATAATTAAAACAGGCAGGTGGAATATAAATTAGGATGGATTATAATGTTGCAAATTTCTTCCAAGAAAAATGAAGCTTAAAATCTGTGCATGAAAAATTGTTTCAAATATATTTCACAAAGATGAAAAAAAATTTAGACATATATTCAAAAAAATGTTTGATATATTCATGTTAAAATACTGTACTGATAAATGCAGTTGCTGATTAATAAATGTTTTGTTGATATTCTTCTGGGTTAGGTATAGTTTTTAGTTTGTATATACATATTCATGAATCAAAGTAATGTAAGGTTGCGGCAAAAGAAAATTTTCAAGATTACAAAGATTTTCAATGATTAATTTTTATTTTTATTGCACAATAGAATTCGAATGAGAAACGAAAACCATTCTAAGATTTCTTTCAATATATTGGGCTTATTTTGAATTTCATATTGATTCAAGTACTATTTACAAACTACTTAGAAATTAAGATTAACTTTCTAATAT